ATAAATATTAACTTTAGCGTTGTTTATTATATATATTAAGGGATATATGGGATAATCTAAGCCTAATACATATTATGAAATTATAAACAATCAATTAATATTTAATAAAAAAAAAACTATGAAAATTTACAAATGAGTTATACTTAATATGTCAATATTTTAGGGGTTTCATAGGGGTTGACTAACTCACAGACTTTTGCGCAAATCTCATAAAAACCCGTGGCGGGACTTTTACCGGAAGGCGGGACTTTTTCCGCCAAATATTTCATCTATCTTTAATCCTACCCATTCTATACATGATAATGAAAAAAGAGGGAGAGACTGAGACGAAAGACTGATAACGGAAGACAGATTCATCGTCTCTGTTCATCTACTCTCCTAGTACTTGTCTTGTGTTATAAACTATGTCCTAAGCGTGAATACAAGGAATGCAGAAGGATCTTGAATCTTACATTGATTTCGTATTCAATAAGTTTCAAATATTCCTGTGATATCCATTGTCTCAATTCTACTTAAATAAAAAGAAATTTTATGTTCTCATTTGGAAGTTACCTTTGAATGTGACTGCCAAAGATTGGAAAGAATTAATGATATATAATTTCAAGGGATATTTGGAAGGCTACAGCGAGACTAGAGATGGCTTTGCTTGTTCTTTGCAATGGTCTATGCCGTTCACAACTTCTCATTCTGTTCAACTTTTATGTAAGTTTTCAAAAATTAAATATTAACCAACTTCAATGTGAAATTCTGAGGCTGAGCACAGACCTCAACGGTTAAAAAACGAAAATTTTGAATTAAACATATGATTAAATTAAGAACATACACTACAAGTCTACAATAAGAGTAGAGATACATAATCAGATTTAATGAACAAAAATACCGATTTTCATCTCTTCATACAAGATTTATTGATTCTCTGCACATAATTTCACTTGATTTTATGTGTATGCTAATTGATGAATAAATACAACTTTTTTCATATGGCCTCTGTTTTTTTTGTGTGTGTGACTGGAAGAAAAAACACCAATTAAATAGATAATCACTGGAATCAGTGGTAATTATCTTTCAATCCATGTTTTTATCAATATCTCTTTAGCTTTTAAATTTAAAGTTTTATTCATAATCAGTTAAATATTTGAGTAATGTATATCTTATCTGTTTACCTATTTATTTCACACTGCATGATTTTCAACGTGATAAGGAAGAAAATATAGTTGTATTTATTTATTTATTTACTCAAATGCGCAGGCATCATCTATCTGGTGTTCTTTGGAGCTACTAGCATACTTTCTTGATCTTCTCTGTATCTATTTGTGCTCCTTGTTAATTTCTTTCTAGATGTTGGTGGGGTTTTTTTGATTTACTGACCATTTTGCCC